TAGGCGAGACTAGAGGGAAAGTGGTTACAGATCAAGAAATTCCATTCAAACGATTCATTCCATTTTCCATTGCCCATGTGCTACTTGAATCGTTAGGCTATCGAAGGTCAATTTATGCGTACATGCATCCGACCACTACGCACCCATCCTTCCGTTTTTCCAACTCAAATTCATCTATACAGCCCCTCACTCATATTCAACACACGTAGAAACTTGTCTCTGATTCATCTATTACTCATCTGCCTACATATTCATTATCCATCCATCTATATACTCCACAACCACCTTCCCATCTCTTCTCCATTCATTATTTGCATTTATTTCACTTATTCACCCATCCATCCTCTAAGGTTGATTTGTTTTCTCCAAAGAGTCTCAATCCCATTCAACACAACCCTTGAAAGAATCCACCCTGGCCTATTGTTTTTGATACTTCGGACGCGCCTTGATTTATGTCTGATGTCTCCTTTGGGAGCAGTTTGTGGAGCCACAGAAAAATCCAATTGACGACAATTTAAGTTCATTTTAACAATACATCAACAAATCAATCAAAGACACAATACGGATCGGTGGTTCAAGTGCGTAGTTGCGCTCTCACAGAAGCGGAAGTAGTGGAGTGGATACACCTGCCTCAATCTGCGCACCATTTAGTTGTAATGGCAAGATGCGACATAGCTATCATCTCCACGATGTTAGACGGTGTGTGCAAATCAAATTGTAAGGATTCACAACCACGTGAATTGAACGAGTGAATGAACCAACGTGATTTTCGTTTAATCCACATACGCGTCACCCTTATTTGGTATCATCATCTAGTGGAAGGTTGTTACACTGGTTCAACAGGTGACCAAAAATTTTCGTGCAGTCTTCTCCATGTCCCACCCCAATGACTGGATGCATTTGCATTGAAAAGCAACGAGGAAAGAAAGTGTATCAATCTACCGGAGGCAGTAGCTAGCTAGCTTACTTGTGTTGAATTTAAAGTGTCACAAATTGCAATAGCAAAAATATTTGAATATTTGCTACCCAGGAAGAAACCAACGGTGTCGATGTGGACTGAAAACCACGATCCATTTGGTCAGTTGCCTGATGAATTATTAGTTAGTTGTTGGCTTATCCATCTAGAAGGGAGGAAAACTTCGAAACATTCGACAATTCATGCTGAGTTGAACCGCAGACCACAAGTACCCCAATCAGACTGTTTTTGAAATGTCAAACGAGGGGAAACTTTGCGGCATCACACCAAACACACTAAATTTGCTCTACACTTTTAAAGGAAGGTTCTTTTTCCAAATCACCGATGAAAGGGGAAAACTAATTAAAGTATAGTCAAGTCCTACAGCGCTGACTAAGCTCCAGTAGTAATTACAGGCAGAAGGATGAATTGAATTAAGGAATATTAATCTAAATGCTAACACTGGTCTAAAATTATTATGAAACGATTTTTTTGCGTTACCTCGTCTTTTCGCTATGAACTGCTTTTTATGTGCATGAGTGCGGGTCCTGTTGACTTTTCAACCGGAATACTTCATCTCGAAAGCCTTTATCTGTCGATACCTTGGAGCAAATAGCGGATCTAGCGCACCGATGTGACTACCGCTTGGCTATCGGTCTCCTGTAATCCCGTTCCTGCGTATTTATTGTATTTGATTGGCCTTGGGCCTACAGTGCTTATTAGTACATTTTAATTCTATCTGGCAAATCAAGAGAACTGAACCAGAGCGCGAGTTTCGAGGCCTCCTTGAATGTTCAGAAATCCGGCACGAAAAGGGTAACGTCCAGAAACTGGAACGGACACATATTTTGAGGTTGTGGACCTCCAGCTCCGCTGTTCTTATTTTTATTAATTTGTCCGCTTACTTAATCCTCCTACCTGTCCAGATTTCTTCACTTCCTATCAGCTTGTCCTTCAATCGTAGTTTGGCTCATCCACCTACATTCCATTCATTTGTTTCCTGATCCCATAATCCAACCGTTTTTGATGGATTTGTCCAGACATTCGTCCACTTTGTAACTGTTTATTTATTTTGAACCCAACCATTCAATCTCAGTCAATTCATCCATTCATTCCGGGATCATTTATTCGTCTTTCGTCAATTCATCCTTTATTGGTCCGTCTAGCCATCACAAGTACGTCAGATTATCATAAATCCATTAGTCCATTTATCCATCGTTAATATGATGCTTATATTGAGGACTGAAACAAATGCTATGTGCTCATAAATTCCTTTTCGTGCTCATCGCGGCATTTTTGGTGTTGTTTCTTAACTGTCGGTCAAGGTGACATCGATCCAGCCATCCTTTTTTCCTTCAAATGCTTTCTCATTCATATATTCAGCTACATCTTTTCCATTTATCCACATGCTTCTGTTCATCTTCCGCGGGTGAATCTGCCTAGCTCTTCTTTTTTGATCTACTCACCCATCCATTCAATGGTAATTTTCTTTTCAATTCATTTATTCGCTTTGATTCTGCTCAGCCTTGGTGTCTCCATTCATTCACCTTCTATCTATTTTTTCTTTGTGAATCCCTTCGCCCTCTTCTTTATTCACCAAACCATCCTCGACCTATCCGTTCGTCTATTTGATTTAGCTTCTGCACGGCTTCATGTAAGCCGCATATGTATCCTAAAAAGGTCAGGTTTCTATGGGGTTTCGCCTCGTGCTTTCGGCTGAGGCAAAATCTTGGATATCAGAATTCTACCTCATAGTTCTGTTAGCATGCATAAGTTTTGCCTTCTGAGAAAAATTATTTACAATAATTTAATGAGATTGCAAAAATTCATATGGGCTTGCCATCTATGCATGGCGCCTGCATTTGAGTGAACAAAAGTGCGATGGAGCGTACATTTGCACAAAATCTGCTTCTAAATTACATGAAGATAGTCGAAAAAGTGTGGTTTGGTTTACACCTTGCTGGATGACATACCGAAATTTATGAGGGCCTGGGAAGTTGGCCAGTTTGTACGCGTGCCTTATATGGTACAAATGCGAATGCGTCAGTTTATCGCTAAGTTATTCATTGTTGTGGTCCCGACTGTTTTCCACTTTTGTTGAATCTAGTGGATGTAGTTCGAGCTTGCTTACTTGCTTTACGAATAATTTTACTAGGTCGCGAATTTCGGGCGATAGTTCTCACCCTCCCTTGTAATTGGTATTCGACTGTCACATGCCCATATAAGATGTAGAATAGAAAGGCCGGAAATTATATAACGACACATAACAGAGGTGACCATGAATTTTTTACTCCTAAGGAAAATGCGTTTTACAATGTGATGGAATTTGCGGTTAGCTTGTGTTTCCCAGAGCATGGGGTAGCAATTTAATTATTATTACTTCGGCAAGTAAAATATTTGGAGGAGCTTCCCATAGTCATTTATTGTTAATGTCCGCCGTTTATCCACCCATTTTTTCATCCACCAAACCGCATTCTTTTATATTCCAATCTCACCGTTTATTCTATCGTTCTGTCTACCCTTGTGCCTGCTTGAAATTCGTTAATATATCCTCAATCCTCTCCAATTCCATTTATTTTAAATCCTTTCGTTTATTCACCACTCATTCCCAACCCTTTCATTTAATAGCTCTTCTGCTCTGCTTTTCTTTAGATCTCATGGTGCCCTGGCTCGTGAATTGGCCAGCATCATGACTTCCATCTCAATTCCCTCTGTGACCAAGCTTAACCAACTCTCAGATGCTGCACCGACTTCCAACACTATTTTCACAACAGTGGCGATGCCATCATCAGTATCAACGTCAGAAAAAGAAGAGGAAGAGGACAAAGTAGAAGTTCATCGATCACCACCTTCTCTACCTTCTCTCGTCCACCTCTATCATCACAATCAGCATCATCTTCCTCACCACCATCACAAATATCATGTGTGGCGTGGACAGTGTGGAGAACTTGAAGGTAAAGAGAAGATCTCCTCAGACTCCTCCTCGACTACCTCTCTGTTGGAAGTGGCGGCGGCCTTGACGTTTTCACAGCTCCTTACGGAATCTACCACCGAGACCACCACGCACACGTTGACCGTGGAAGAGTTTGAACCAGCTCATGCCTACCTCTCGTCGGTGAGTGAGTTGTGCGATTTCTATGAATTCATGCGTTGAATGATAGCTGTCTTTATGGATATTTGTGAACTAGTTTTTGGCACAGACTGACGTTAGATTCTGTTCTGTAATCTCTAACTTTTGATTAGGGACTGAGTGCAATTATATTCTTCATATTGACTGTCAATACAGCATTATAGTGAGGCACTGTACTCTTTTCTAGGTCGGAGAGGTTACCGTCTATCTACCGAAAGTTAATATGTCATTGGTTCTGATATGACTTCTTGCTCTCTTTTTTGTTGATTTTTGAAATAATTTAGCCAATCACATTGGGGATTTTTTTCCCCAATATCATGGATTGCATCTGCATGTCGTTTTTTCCTTTTTGGACAGTTTATAAAGGATGTCTGCTTGACTTTACCACAGATCTGTTTATTGCGTTTTTGAAGTGAAAATTCTACCATCTAAGTTCATTTTGACTGTCTCAGTCGTTATTGTCCCCAAGGCAACTATCCGCCTGTACGCTACCATATCCCTTTTGATCTTATCGAAGAAAAATTAGTACTTCTATCAACTTGCGCTTTTTGATTCTGTCTGAATTATCCTCAAACCTTCTGACCAATTTTGATAGGGTAGCATTTGATCAACCCTTCCCCCTGTGTGCGAGCATCATTGTTTCTTCTTACCGGTTAAAATGGTTCACTGCCTTTTTGACATGTCACGGAGGGGAGTTATTAGCTTTGTAATAACTTGATTTCCTTGCAGGCGCTCGCACATTTAGTATATGTAGGGGTGAAATCCAGCCAGCTATCCACTTTTTTTATCACTGCTAATAACCTTATGTGTTATCACCTGTGAAATGCGAGATGTTTGTAACGCTGCAACTGCAGCTAATTTCATTTTTTTTAAGTGTTACATTTGAACAGTCATATTAATTCTTAGCCCTATCAGGAGTTTGAATGACGAAGGTTTTTTTCCTTCCAAAGTTTTATCTGCAGGTGTAGAACAACGACAAGTTGTTTAATCCGAGGCCTTTCCAAGACATTCAATATGGGAACTTCCGACCAGCAGTTCAACTTCTTTTCGAAAATTTCCTATCTTTATATTTTGCTTTTATCAAAAGTGGCGATCCTTTTTAATGAAGTTATTTAACGCATGATGGACAATGAAATGTCCCAACGTTTCCCTCTCGATTACCCCAAATAGGCGAAACAACATTTAACCCAACTTGGCTAAGTAAGTTACATATGGCTGAATCAGTTTTAATACCTTTTTACATGGAAACACTGAGGAATGTTGAATTCCAAAATTATCCGTTACACTTACTATGCCGTCCCGTCCAATTTCTCAGCGACCCAAATCCGTTTAAATGTACACCTTCCTTTGCATAATTTGCTGGCGTTTTTCCTCATTTCAGCATTATAGCTAGATCATTTTCAGGTAGTTTAAGCCGAGTCGACGGCCTCTTCCA